GCACCCCCACCCTGAGCCCCCTCCCCCTCTTACTCCCTGCCCTGACTCCTGCACCCCCTTGCCCTGAGCCCTCTACACCTCCCCTCCTCTGAGCCCCCGTTCTGATTCCCCCCTGCCCTGACCCCTGCACCCCCCTTCCGCAGCCCCCTGCCCAGAAGGCTCTGACCAACGCCCAGTGAATCTCCCAGTACAAGAGTAGGGTAAGTAAAGGACAAAGGGGGCTGAGAGCACAAACGCAAGAGACCCACAGGCCTGGACCCATCAAAGGAGAAAAGACGCGCAAGGTGGGGGAGGCGGCGTCTCTTCTTGCGGGTGGCAGAGACAGAAGCTGGAGCAGGAAAAAATGCCACCTCCCCTGCCTTGGCTTTCCGGTGCCCCGGGACCCTGCTGGCCCCAGCAGCTACGCACAAGAACGGCGCATGCTGTGAGCACCTTGGAGTGTGAACAGTAGCACGTGCTGATCATGCTGGGCCAGACCTTGGACAGGAACCTACCATGTTAGATCCACCTGCCTGAGACCGTCCTACAGAGCCCTCCCGGCCCAGCCCCTCAGCGCCCCCTAGTGCCAGGCTGGGGCATTGGGATCCACCTGCCTGAGACAGTCCCACGGAGCCCTCCCGGCCCAGCCCCTCAGCGCCCCCTAGTGCCAGCCTGGGGCATGGCCAGCAGCACTGCCTAAGGAGGAAGCCCCCACACTGAACTCCCACACCTGGAACCCAGCCCTGTACAGCCCTGCTGGAGCAATGAGGTTAGTGGGTCTGAGACATGAGACCTCCCAATTACATCATCCCCCCACTCCCTCCAGCACCCGGCCCTCCATCCCCTCTGCTCCCACACAGAGTTTGTTCTAACATCCCTGGGAGGTCGTCCTGACTCTGGTCCCACTGAAAATAGACTGGATCCAAGGGGACCCATCCCCCTGCCTGCTCTGCGCTGTGGGGTTGGCCCTTGAGGAGGGACATGGGCTCTGTGGGCAGGGCAGGGGGTCTGAGAGTGAGGGCTCCTAGGGTCCGTTCCCAGTTCTGGCAGGGCAGTGGGGTGTAATGGTTAGAGTGGGTGGGGTGGAACTCAGAGCTCAGAATCTGATCGGGAGGGAGCCAGGAGCCCTGGGGGTTGTTCCTGCCTCTGCCCCCAATTCTGTGTGTTGTGTTGCCTGGGGCTGCCCATCCCTCCTGCTAGGCATAAAAAGAACTTTCAAGAGCTAGTCAATCCCAGGGTGATTTTTAACTAAACAATGCACACGAGGATGAGACAACTTGTTATGGCGTGACTGACCTGGGGAATCTTGTTTGGCTGCAGCTCCAGGCAGGGCTGTTCCTCCTCCGAGGAGTATGAGGAGACGTTGCCATGAGGGACTCGGTCCCAGGAGACAACGTGTGCAATAAAAACCCCTTTGTTCTCTTCAGCACGTCCAACGCCTGCAGCGAGAAGATGGAAGCGCTCTGCTCAAACAGGGTAGGCTATGAACGAATGACTCAAGCCCTCAGCCATTCACCACATGAAATCCATCAGTATGATGCAACTAGATCAAAATATCACAAGTTTCTTCATTCAAATTTTCCAGACATGGATAGAGAACCTGGCGGCCAGTGTAGAGAGCTGGCAAGTTTTTCCGGAAAAGCGGCTGATTTTCCGGAATAATTTGCCAGTGTAGACACAGCCCCTTTGTATCTAATCTGACCAATCTATTTACCCACGTACACCCCTTCTATCTATCTACTCCACCCCACCTTGCGGTCTATCTAGTAGTATTTCTATTGATCTCTCGGCCTCTGAATGTATCATTGTGAATTCAACTAACTGAACGATGATGGGTCAGGTCAAGAACCTGACTTTGCAGGTGTTTCCCTCAATTACCACGGGTATCGTTCTGATCCCAGATTTCCACAGTGCCCCCAGAGTGAGAGAGGCGCGCCAGACGTGCTTATCACCAAACCACAATTCTGTTTGGTCTTGTTCTTGTGCTGGGAGTGTTATTTCGTGCTTCTCTCATCTTTACGCCCCTCTGTTCCCTACGCTCATCATTGTCCTCAGAATCTAAAGGCAAATGTGGTTGGAGGGGTGTGTTGGATTAGGCTTGGAATACAGCCGTCTGGCTGGGCTCTCTCTGATCGCTTCTCCTCCACTCCCAGGAGACAACCACAGCCCACGCTCTGCACCTGGTGCCCACTCAGTTTAAGATGGCATCTTTTAGTGGAATTGAGCGGAATCCCCTCTCTGCGTAACGTACATGTCTTTCATGTCTTTCATGTTCCCCTATACTCAGTGGAGTGTCTAGATAACTTCAAAAACAACGAGAAGTCCTGAGGCAACTTATAGACTAACAGATGTATTGGAGCATAAGCTTTCATGGGCAAAGACCCATTTTTTCATGCATCTGATGCAGTGGGTCTTTGCCCACAAAAGTTTACGGTCCAATAAATATTAGGTGCCACAGGACTTCTTGTTTTTTATGCAGATACAGACTAACTAATGACTTCCAGAACATTGAAACTTCCATTCATCTTCCAGTGACAAGAATCTATAAGGACTTCATATCTAAAGGTAAGTGACTCCATTTACTCAAACCCGCTCCAAATGTCAGCCGGCATTGTAAGACATCAACCAAAATCTCTTCTGAACAAACGATTTCATCTCTACTGGTGTTTTCCATGAAAAAATGTTGATGTGGATGGAAGTTTTCAGTTTTCCATTCCGAATCGAAATGGGGCATTTTTTGCTATTCCAAACTTTGGTATGGATCCTGGGTGAAAGCAAATATGGGAGCATCGGCATGTGTCATAAGATGGAAATTGCACCTGCATATTTGGAGAACCTCATTTGCATTTGCTTGAAATTGCTCCATGCAGTGTGCTTAGTGCACTACCGCAGTTGGGGTGTGTATGAGAGAGAGAGAAAGAGAGAGAGAGAGAGAGAGAGTGTCTCAGTCTTTCCCAGTTTCCCAATTACTAGGTCATTATAATTTGATGCATTGTTTTGAGATTTCCCCTGTTAAGGAAGTGAAGTCATACAAAATACAATATTCATTATGGCTCATTTTAAATTCAACTCCTTCACCTCACTGGCATGCCCGTTATTATGAAGTTCCTTGTGAACAAATAACCATGAAATAAAACATTGGAATTGTCGAAGCAAAAAAAAAAAATGCTCCTCTCTGTTTAGGCAGCTAACAAACAGCTTTATTAATTAATAAAGCACAGCATGAGCCAAACGTGGTCCCAGCAAAGCCGGGCCCAGTAAAGCTGCTAATACAATCAATCCTAGTATCTTTATACCCTTAGCCAAACAGTCTGACGTCAGGGCATCCAATTACAGAAATCCTTAATTAAATTTGGAAAAACAAAGCCTTATCAACAAGATGGCAGACAGGTACGAGGGGGTACATCTCCTGTCCCAACCAGCCCAATTAACACATCCCAATAGCCCATCCTGTAGGCCTCTTCTCACGGGGTGACAGACAGCTCACTCTGGTCTACGTGCTTGAGAGAAAAGCTGAAATGGTTTCTGATATACAGGATGGCTTCTAGCTAAATATGAAAATGGTTTCTACAGCTTCTACAGAAGGGAATGTCTGTTACACTGTAGGATCTTCCTTTTTATAAAACTCTTTAATAGCAAGGTCATAGGAGAAAACCCCACAACTGGTGTAAGTTGCTATTGCCCCTTGTGTATCTATAGGGTACGTCTAGACTACAGGCTTTTGTCTGTTGACAAAGCCTCTGTCGACAAAGAACGTCTAGACTACAGCCAGTTCTGTCGACAAAACAAGTCACTTTTTCGACAGAGAGAGTAGACGCTCTATTTTGGAAAAGCACAGTGTGGATGCAGGCGGTAGTGTAGACGAAGGAATAGTTTGGTTGACAAAACTCCGCTTTTGACAACAAAACCTTGTAGTCTAGACACACCCTATACAGTCACGAAGATTTACATCAGCTACAGCATCCGAGGGGTAGCCGTGTTAGTCTGAATCTGGAAAAGCAGCGAGGAGTCCTGTGGCACCTTATAGACTAACCGAAGTGTTGGAGCATAAGCTTTCGTGGGCAAAGACCCACTTCGTCAGATGCAAAGACCCACTTGGTCATGCATCTGACAAAATGGGTCTTTGCCCACCAAAGCTTATGCTCCAACACTTCGGTTAGTCTATAAGATGCCACAGGACTCCTCGCCGCATCAGCTACAGCAACAACCCTAGGTCTCTTTACGTCTATTGACACACACCAATGTATTTTTATAGAACTCAAAAGGCCCAAATCCCCCATTGTTTACAACTTTCAACCTGCTCCTCATTCTTCAAATGATTTCAACCACATTTTGGCATCAGACTGAGATGATAACGTGACCTCATTTGCGAAATCCTGTTTGGCGAATGTGGTTTTAGGGTAACATTCCGTAAGGAAGGAAGAGATGCCTTTTTGAACTTTAAAGTGGGGGGTAAACTCAAAAGGCCCAAATCCCCCATTGTTTACAACTTTCAACCTGCTCCTCATTCTTCAAATGATTTCAACCACATTTTGGCATCAGACTGAGATGATAACGTGACCTCATTTGCGAAATCCTGTTTGGCGAATGTGGTTTTAGGGTAACATTCCGTAAGGAAGGAAGAGATGCCTTTTTGAACTTTAAAGTGGGGGGTATGTCTACACTACCCTCCTAGTTCGAACTAGCGGGGTAATGTATGCATACCGCACTTGCTAATGAAGCCCGGGATTTGAATTTCCCGGGCTTCATTAGCATGCTTCGAACCCCGTGTAGCGCGGCTACACGGGGCTCGAACTAGGTAGTTCGGACTAGGGTCCTATTCCGAACTACCGTTACTCCTCGTGAAACGTGTGCGGTATGCATACATTACCCTCCTAGTTCGAACTAGGAGGGTAGTGTAGACATACCCAGAGAGAATAAGGCCAGGTCTACATGAGACCCTGCAGCTTGGCTTAAGGTATAGGCCTCCAGCCACGTAAAATACATAGCTGGAGTTGGCTTACATTAAGCGAAGTTTGGTGCCATCGTCACAGTGGGAGGCTGACTGCTGAGCAACAGTTTAGCAAAAAAGGCCCTGAGGATGACAGTGGATGAGAAGCTGGATATAAGTCAACAAGGCACCCTTATAGCCAAGAGGGATAATGGAATATTGGGGTGCATGAAGAGGAGCATTGTGAGCAGATCTGGGAAGTCATTATTCCTCTTTATTCGGCACTGGGGAGCCAACACGTGGAGTATTGTGTCCAGTTCCAGGACCCTCCAGGATAGAACGGATGTGGATGCATTGGAGGGGGGCCGGAGCACATGACCTACGAGGAGAGGCTGAGGGATTTTGGTTTGTTTAGTCTGCAGAAGAGAAGAGTGAGGGGGGATTTGGTAGCATCCTTCAACTCCCTGAAGGGGGTTCCAAAGAGGCTGTAGAGAGGCTGTTCTCAGTGGTGGCAGATGGCAGAATGAGGAGCAATGGTCTCAAGTTTCAGTGGGGTAGGTCTAGGTTGGAGATAAGGAAAACTATTTCCGTAGGAGGGTGAGGAAGCACTGGGATGGGTTACCTAGTGAGGTGGTTGAATCTTCATCCCCAGAGGTTTTTAAGTCCAGGCTTGACCAATCCCTGGTTGGGTTGATTGAGTTGGGGTTGGTCCTGCTTTGGGCAGGGGGCTGGACTCGATGACTCCTGAGGTCTCTGCCAATCCTGGGATTCTAGGGTATGTCTAGACTACATGGCTCCCTTGATGGAGCTATGTAGAGAAGTTTACTAGACATAGCAAAATGAAGCGTACCGGAGCGGTCGATAAAGGCTTCCCTTGTCAACCGCAGAGCGTCCAGACTGCCCGCTGTGCCGGATCAGCTGATAGTCGGCACAGCGCGGTGGCCATTTTGATGTAAATGAAGTGGTGATGATTTAAATCGCCGCTTCATTTTGCTATGTCTAGTAAACTCATCTACATGGCTCCGTCGATGGAGCCATGTAGTCTAGACATACCCCCAGAGTCTACATGTTTGATTTTCCTCTGATGTAGTCTTTGTCACCCCACAGATGACCTATTCTGAGAGTGACCCTGGCGAGAATGAGACCATCTCCAGTGGATTCATCCTGGTGGGGTTTTCGTACCTTGGTGAGCTGCAAATCCTTCTGTTCCTGCTGCTGCTGGTCACCTACCTCATCACCCTGATGGGGAACCTGCTCGTTATCACCCTGGTAATGCTCAGCTCATCCCTCCACACCCCCATGTATTTCTTCCTGGTGAACCTGTCCTTCCTGGAAATCTGCTTCACCTCTGGTGTGGTCCCCCAACTGCTAGTTCACCTCCTGGTGGAGGAAAAGACCATCTCCATTGCAGGCTGTGCAGCTGAGATGTACGTCAACACCATCATGGGCCTCACCGAATGCTGCCTCCTTGCGGCCATGGCCTACGACCGCTATGCAGCCATTTGTCACCCCTTGCACTACACGACCATCATGAGTGGCCGGGCGTGTGCACAGCTCGCGGGGGCTTCATGGGGCATCGGGATCTCCCTGGAGGTAGCTCAGACCACGTGGATCTTCAGCCTGCCCTTCTGTGGCTCCCACCGCATCCACCACTTCTTCTGCGACATCCCACCGGTGATGAAGATGGTCTGCGCCGACACATCAAAGATTGATATTCTAGGGTACTTTATCACAGTACTTTTTATCATGGGCCCTTTCTTGATGATAATCCTGTCCTACGTCTACATTATTTCCACCATCCTGAAGCTGCCATCCGCAGAGGGGAGGCGTAAAACTTTCTCCACCTGCTCCTCCCACCTCATGGTGGTGAGTTTGTTCTATGGAACGGCCCTTTTTGCCTACGTGTTGCCAAATTCTAGCCCCACCGTCGAGAATGATCAAATAGTTTCTCTGCTGAACACAATAGTGTCACCTATGTTGAACCCCATAATATACACACTGAGGAACAAAGAGGTGAAGGGAGTCTTGAGCAAAATACTTGAGAAGAGAAGACAAAGAGCAGGTTAAGAACTATTTAGAAAAGTTAGACATACACAAATCCATGGGCCCGGATTTAGTGCATCCGAGGGTACTGAGGGAGTTGGCAAATGTCATTGCAGAGACTTTGGCCATTATCTTTGAAAACTCGTGAAGACCAGGAGAGGTCCCAGATGATTGTATAAAGGCAATTGTAGTGCCCATCGTTAAAAAGGGAAAGAAGGCCAATCCAGTGAACTACAGCTGGTCATCCTCACCTCAGCCCCTGGAAAAATCATGGAGGGGATCCTCAAGGAATCCATTTTGAAGCACTTGGAAGAGGGAAAAGTGATCAGGAATAGTCAAAATGGATTCACCAAGGGTAAGTTATGCCTAACCAATCTGATTAGCTTCTATGATGAGGTAATTGGATCTGTGGATATGGGAAAGTCAGTGGATGTGATCTACCTTGACTTTAGCAAAGCTTTTGATACGGTCTCCCACAATATTCTTGCCAGCAAGTTAAGGAAGTATGGACTGGATAAATGGACTGTAAGCTGGATAGAAAGCTGGATAGACTGTCAGGTCCAATGAGTAGTGATAAATGGCTCGATGTCTGGTGGATGGTCGGTTTGAAGTGGCGAGCCCCAAGGATGGGTTCAAAGGCTGGTTTTCTTCAACATCTTTATTGATGACCTTAGTGAGGGGATGGATTGCACCCTTGGCAAGTTTGCGGGTAACACTAATCCAGGCAGAGAGGTAGATAAGCAGGAGGGCAGAGAAAGGGTCTAGAGTGACCCAGACAAATTACAGGAATGGGCCAAAAGAAATCTGGTGAGGTCCAAGAAGGACAAGTGAAGAGTCCACCCTCGGGATGGAAGAATCCCAAGCATTGTTACAGGCTGGGGACCGACTGGCTAAGTAGGAATTCTTCAGAAAAGTACCTGGGGATTGCATTGGATGAGAAGCTGGATAGGCATCAACAGTGCACCCTTGTCGCCAAGAAGGCTGATGTCATTTTGGGGTGCATTAGGGGGAGCATTTCTAGCAGATCTAGAGAAATGATTATTACCCTTTTTTGGCACTGGTGAGGCCACATCTCCAGATATGCGTGCAGTTCTGAGGCTCCCCACTACAAAAGAAACGTGGACGCATTTGAGAGGGTCCAGCGGCGGGTGACCAAAATGATTCGGGGGCTGGAGCACATGACCTACGAGGAGAGGCTGAGGGATTTGGGTTTGTTTAGGCTGCAGAAGAGAAGAGTGAGGGGGGATTTGAGAGCAGCCTGCAACTTCCGGAAGGGGGTCCAAGAGAGGATGGAGAGAGGCTGTTCTCAGGGGGGGCAGGTGGCAGAACAAGGAGCAATGGGCTCAAGTTGCAGTGGGGGAGGTCTAAGTTGGAGATTAGGAATCACTATTTCCCTAAAGGGTGGGGGAGCACTGAGAGGGGTTCCCTAGGGAGGGGGTGGAATCTGCATCGCAAAAGAATATTTAGCCAAATAGCATCCTGATTTTAGATCTTCCAAGTTTTAAATGTAAAAGAAGAAGAAAGCTTTCAATGAGAAAGATTGCAGTCCATGTACACATCCACCATCCGGGAATTACTCTGGTTAGGATACGTCAAGTTGTTTTCTTCACTATCCCCGTGAGCTCTGATGTGGGATGTCAACAGGAGAGGTGTGTGAGTGATTTGTGAGGGGGGTTCCGATATCGACCTGATGGGCAGCGGAAGAATGGAACTTTGTTGTTTCTCCAGGCCCACTAGCCTGTAGCATCTCAGTTTATTCTCTGAGAAACGCCAACAGGCCCTATTCAGCTTCCCTCTGCTTTACTTGGGTCTTTCTCTTCAGCACGCTGTGCTTCTCCGGGCTGCCTCTGTCAGACCTGCAGACATGGGTCGGGTACAAATAGTAACTGCCCAGAGGTCTGGGTGGATTAAAAAGGGCCCAGGGACCCCTGGATGTTGTTGCCACCAACATCGGCAATGAGACCTAGCTAAGGCATGTTCCCTGCCCCCCTTCACTCCACACCAATCTCTGAAGTGGCCAGCATCTACCTGTGGGACTGCAGGGGGCAACTTTGCACACGGTCCCTACCCCAGGCGATGACTTTGCAGCTCCCATTGGCTACAATATGCGGCCAATGGGAGTTATGGGGTTTGTGCCTGAGAATACCACCGCACTGAGCCCAACTGGCCACCACACACCAGAGCCTGACCCCACACACCAAACTGCACCCAGGGCTGGATTACGGTCTTCATAGACCCTACGCATTCTCACAATTGTAGGCCCTTAAATTAGACTATACAGAAGGGAGAAATGCACGATCATCTACACTCCTAATGTCTCTCACTGTAATTTCCGCTCTAAAAAAATGGTGCACCGTATGAGGAATTCATGGTCCTTCATTCTAAAATAACATCCAGTTTGTTGTTCACTGAAATTATACTCAGGATTCACCTGGTCATTAAATGGATGAAGTAAGGTGAAAAGTAAGGTGATGGTGCCACCATCTATAAAATCCACAGACGAATGCATTGTGCTGAAGAGCTGATATAACATGTCTCAAGATCATTCACTGTCATTTACGAAATAACAGTATTCTGGCTGACTTTGGCCAGTTATTTCCGCCAGAAAGTATTACGTGGGAGCCTAGGGTGTTTAAAAAACAACTTTGAAATGAAAACAACTGTAGTAACAATCAGTGTTCCCTCTAGCATTTTCCATCCTTGGGTGGGTCGAATTTTCTTACGTGCACCAACAGTACAAACAAAAAAAACATAGATATAAATATATTTTTAAACAGCTTGTAGGTATGTAAAATAAATATTTTTAAAAAGGATGGATAATTAACAAGGAACAATGCCTATGATGTGTATGTAATATCAAATAAAAAGAAAATTGACACGACCTTGGGACTACATGTATTTTATCATCCTTTCTAACAACTCAAGCTAGTAATCAATCAAAATGCGTATTATCCACATATAGCTCAGCTTTAAGATGCTAAACAAATCTATGAGTCAACTGGAAACAGTCATGTCCTTACTTACACTGGAAAGGCGGGAAAAAGTCATACTGTTTCTCTGGGATGTCAACTCTTAATTTGATTAACAGTGCACAGACATGGAAGAGTAAAAATCAGCATCAAAGCAACACAGAAAGCAACTAAAGCCACAAATGTGAAAATAGGAAGGGAACTAAAACATCGAGTGGTTGGTGATGGGTATTTTAAATGAACGTCTAAGATCACTATACAAGAGAAACAGAGACCTGAAAAGCACAAATAAAAGTTCTCCTGTTTTGAAACTTTCAGAATACCACCAACTCAACAAGTAGTCACTGCAGAGCAGCACGTTATACATGGCTTCAGAGTTTGTAGACAGATCTGTTTTTTAAAGCGCTTGCAAATACAACCTTCATCCTACAACACATCTAGCATTACATCTAGATCATCCATGGACTCGTGAGTGCCAGAATTATACCATCTAGAAAAGATCTGGCTTTCATGCCCCTCCCCAAACAAATTCTAAAATTTGATGCATTTATTGACATATTGGTTTCCAATGTTATGATGCAAATAATCTCTGAAATCAAGAAGGCAAAGTATTACGGAATCAATATCAATTCATTCCCTGAGATTGGTTACACTGAGTATCTTACAGAATTACATGCAAGATCCCCATCTGAGACCGCCATACAGAGCGCTCCCATCCCAGCCCTGTCTCTCAGCGCCCCCTAGTGCCAGGCTGGGGCATGGCCAACGGCACTGACTAAGGAGGAAGCCCCCACATCTAGCCCCCACGCCTGTTACCCAGCCCCCTATGTTCTGCTGGAGCAATGAGGTCAGTGGGTCTGAGACATGAGACCTATCAGCCATCTCCCCACTTCCTGGCGCACCCAGCCCCCCCAGCTCCTGTCCTCCCTCACAGAGTTTGTTCTAACAACCCTGGGAGCTCGCCCTGCATCTGGTCCTGCTGCAAACATGCTGGAACCAAAGGGACCTGCCCCCTGACTACTCTGGGCTGTAGGGCTGCCTCTGAAGGAGGGAAATGGGTCCTGTGGATAGGGCAGGGGGTCTGGGAGTGACGACCTCTGGTTTCTGTGCCCAGTTCTGGCAGGGCAGTGGGGTGTAATGGTTAGAGCAGGTAGGGGGGGAGTCAGAGCTCCTGGGGTCTCATCGTGGTTCTGAGTCAAGAGTGGGGCCCAGAGTCTGAGCCTCAGGGACCTGGAGCCATGAGCCCTGGGGGTTGTTCCTCTCTCTGTCCCTGATTCTGTGTGTTGTGTTGCCTGGGGCAGATCATCCTTCCTGCTAGACATAAAAGGAATTTCCAAGAGGGAGTCAATCCCAGGGAGATTTTAATCGAAAATATGCACACGATGAGACAACTTCCCCTAACCTGACTGACCTGGGGAATCTTGTTTGGCTGCAGCTCCAGGCAGGGCTGTTCCTCCTCCGAGGAATATGAGGAGACGTTGCCATGAGGGACTCGGTCCCAGAAGCCAACGAGTGCAATAAAACCCCTCAGTTCCCTCAGCACTCTGCTCACACAAGGTAGGATACGGATGAACGACTCAAACCCCCATTCACCAAGTGAAATCCATCAGTGTCCTGCAATTGGAGCAAAGCGTCACAAGTGTCTTCATTCACATTTCCCAAACATGCATAGAGAACCTTAGTATCTAACCTGACCAATCTATTTACCTACGTACACCCTCTATCTTCCTATCTACTTACATACACCCCTCTATCTACCTATGTGCCTACATACACCCCTCTATCGTCCTATATACTTACATACACCCTTCTATCTACCTATATATCTACATACACACCTCTTTCTACCTATCTATCTCGTCCACCCCACCTTGCGGTCTATCTGTATTTCTATTGATCTGTTGCTCTCCAAATGTATTATTGTGAATTCAGCTAACTGAACAATGATGGGTCAGGTCAAGAACTTGACTCTGCAGGTGTTTTCGTAAATTACCACACGTGACGTTCTGATCCCAGATTTCCACAGTGCCCCCAGAGTGAGAGAGGCGCGCCAGACATGCTTATCACCAACCCACGATTCTGTTTGGTCTTGTTCTTGTGCCGGGAGTGTTATTTCTTCCTTCTCTCATCTTTACACCCCTCTGTTCCCTACTCTCATCATTGTCCTCAGAATCTAAAGGCAAATGTGGTTGGAGGGGTGTGTTGGATTAGGCTTGGAATACAGCCGTCTGGCTGGGTTCTCTCTGATCGCTTCTCCTCCACTCCCAGGAGACAACCACAGCCCACGCTCTGCACCTGGTGCCCACTAAGTTTAAGATGGCATCTTTTAGCGGAATTGATCGGAAGCCCCTCTCTGCATAATGTGCACGGCTTTCATCACTTTGTAATGCCTCTGACAAAGTGGGTCTTTGCCCACAAAAGCTTATCATAGAACCATAGAGCTGGAAGAGACCTCAGAAGGTCATCAAGTGCAGCCCCCTGCTCTAGGCAGGACGATCCCAACCAAATCAACCCAGCCAGGGCTTTGTCAAGCCGAGATTTAAAAACCTCTAGGAATGGATCCTTCGCTACTTCCCTAGGTATCCCATTCCAGTGCTTCACCACCCTCCTAGTGAAATACTTTTTCCTAATATCCAAACTAGACCTCTCCCATCTCAACTTCAGACGATTGCTCCTTGTTCTGCCATCTGTCACCACTGAGAACAGCCTCTCTCCAGCCTCTTTGGAACCTCCCTTCAGGAAGTTGAAGGCTGCTATCAAATCCCCCCTCACACTTCGCTTCTGCAGACCAAATAGACCAAAATCTCTCACACTCTCCTCGTAGGTCATATGCTCCAACCCCCTAATCATTTTGGTCACTCTCCGCTGGAGGTTCTCCAATGCATCCACATCCTCTTTGTAGTGGGAGACCTGGAACTGGAGACAATACTATAGATGTGGCCTCACCAGAGCCGAATAAAGGGGAATAATGACATCTCTGGATCTGCTGGCAATGCTCCTCTTAATGCAACCTAACATGCCATTAGTCTTCTTGGCTACAAGGGCGCCCTGTTGACTCATATCCAGCTTCTCATCCACTGTGATCCCCAGGTCCTTTTCTGCAGAACTACTATTTAGCCAGTCGGTTCCCAGCCTGTAGCAATACTTGAGATTCTTCTGTCTGAAGAGCAGGACTCTGCACTTGTCCTTGTTGAACGTCATCAGATTTCTTGTGGCCCAAACCTCCAATTTGTCTAGGTCACTCTGGACCCTCTCCCTGCCCTCCAGCGTATCTACCTCTCCCACAGCTTAGTATCATCTGCAAACTTGCTGAGGGTGTAATCCATCCCCTCATCCATGTCACTAATAAAGATGTTGTACAAAGCCAGTCCTAGAACGAAACGTTTCTTGCACTCCACTAGAAACCAACCAGCATCCTGACATTGAGCTGTTGATCACTACCCACTGGGCCTGACAGTCTAGCCAGCTTTCTATCCACCTCACAGTCCATTTATCCAACCCATACTTTCTTAACTTGCTGGCAAGAATATTGTGGGAGACCGTATCAAAAGCCTTGCTAAAGTCAAGGTATATCTCATCCACTGACTTTCCCACGTCCACCAAGCCAGTTACCTCAGCATAGAAGCTAATCAGATTGGTCAGGCACAACTTGCTCTTTGCGAATCCATGCTGTCTATCCCTGATCACTTTCCCCTCTTCCAAGTGCTTCAAAATGGATTCCTTACGGCTCCCTTCTGTGATGTTTCCAGCGACTCAGGTAAGACTGACCGGCCTATAGTTCCCTGAATTGTCCTTCTTCCCTTTTTAAAAGATGGGCACTACATTTGCCTTTTTCCAGTCATCCGGGATCTCTCCCGATCTCCGTGACTTTTCAAAGATAATAGCCAAAGGCTCCTCAATGACATTATGCTCCAATAAATCTTCCACAAGACTACTCATTATTTATGCAGATTCAGACTAACATGAGTCTGAATAACCCCTCTGATAGGTGACATCAATAACAGAATAACCCCTCTGATAGGTGACTTCAAGAGCACTGAAAATTCCATTCAGCTGCCAGTGACGAGAATCTATCTGGGCTTCATTTCCAAACGTGAGTAAATGACTCCATTTACTTAGAGGCTGTCCAAATGTCAGCCGGCATTGTAAGACATCAACCAAAATCTCTTCTGAATAAACGATTTCATCTCTATTGATGTTTTCCATGAGAAAACATTGTGAATGGAAGTTTTCAGTTTTTCATTCTGAATCGAAATAGGGAGGTTTTTTTTTTTTCCTGTTTCAGACTTCGGCATTGATCCTGGGTGAAAACAAATACAGGAACGGTGGCATGTGTCGTAAGGTGGAATTTGCATTGGCATGCTTAGAGAACCTCATTTGCATTTGTTAGAAATTGTTCCATGCAGCGTGCTTAGTTCACCTCCATAGATGGTGTGTGTGTGTGAGAGAGAGAGAAAGAGAGAGTCTCAGTCTTTCCCAGTTTCCAAATTACTCGCTCACTATAACTTCATGCAATGCTTTGAGATCCCCCCTATTAAGGAAGTGAGGGCATGCAAAATACAATGCTCACTTTGGCTCCTTTTTAATTCAACTCTGTCACTTCACTGGCATGCCTGTTATTATGAAGTTTCTTGTGAACAAACAGCCATGAAGTAGAACACTGGCAGGGAATGTATGTTACACTGTGGGGTCCTATGCATAAAACTCTTTAATAGCAAGGTCATAGAATAAAGCCCCACAACTGGTGTAAATTGCTGTTACTCCTTTTATACCCATTGAGTCATTAAGATTTACACCAGATACAGCACCAACCCGAGGTCTCTTTATGTGTATTTTACCAGGAGTCCCGTGGCACCTTGTAGACTAACAGATGTATTAGAGCATAAGCTTTCGTGGGCAAAGACCCACTTCGTCAGACGCATCTGATGAAGTGGGTCTTTGTCCACAAAAGCTTATGCTCTAATACATCTGTTAGTCTATAAGGTGCCACGGAACTCCCTGTCGCTTTTGCAGATCCAGACTAACGTGGCTACCCCTCTGATAGTTCACGTATATTGACGCACACCAGTA